TTACGGTCTTCACTTGTAGTGGTCTCGGCAATTGTACCGAGATAAGGAGCCACATGTCCGGTAGCTTCAAGGTTGTTAGCCCTAAACCGGAACAAAGTAGGTCCCGAGGTAGACGTACATTATAAGAAAGTCGGCTTTGGATTTTGATGTTGACCATAGATTTAGGATTTTGGGCTATGTAATCCATATAACAGGGTCTTAAAAGAAAATATAAAATAAATATGGGGCCCTGTTCGAAAACTCCTATTTAACAACCCAATTGACGGACCAGATACTAATTAATAGTCATAGAGTTTTTGTTGCCTTCAAAATATTTTTGGACATGATATCAACAAGTGGTGATGAATCATGATTAACCTTTTCATAAATATAAAAATGATGATGATTTTTCATAATTTTTATAAGCAAATGTACCTCAAATAGGGATCTGTAACAAGAAGTAGAAAAGAGTACAAATGTACGATGAAGTTGACACCATTTTTATCACTTTACATCACTTGCATGTAAATTTGCCGCTAGAGAATGAATGTTGGAATGCATGAAGCTACACATTCTGACATTCCCAAATATTTATACAAGCTACCAAACCAATCATGATTCTATATTTGCAATAATACTCATATTTCACAATTGAAAGCTTAGAAGCAATATGGATTAGGTTGTTTATGTAAGATTTATAAATAAACAAAATTTTAGCTTTATTTTGTCTTTGTGGGTTTCATACTTTTTAACCTATTAATTTACTTATTTTTTCAGCTTCATATCTCACGCTTCTCAACGACCACAACATTCAGTAAATAAAGATTTGGACAAAGAAAATGAAAATATCTTATTATTACCTGGTTTTTGTTAGGAAACTCGATACAATAAAACACAACAGGAGGTTTGAAGAAACCTAAAAACATCTCTAAACGTAATTGTTACCTTTCGACAAGAGTTAAGCTCTAGTTATAGATTTCATTGTGAATGGATTGTAAATTATATTATTTTACTAGGATTTTCTATGACAAATCATATCAAAATTCAATACGATTACATGGATAAATCTCTTGCATATATACTCCAAAAGGATCATCATGAATCATGCTAATAGAGAGTTTGGTCCCTATTGATAATTTTCATAATTTGTCATTGGGATCTTTTACTATTAAAAGTTTTGTTATTTTCTTAATTGTCAAAGTATACACAAAGTACAATCACGATAATTTTCTTTTTGTTGCTTTTTTTTATTCAAAATATAGCATAACTGTGTGGTGATGAAGCAGTACGTTATGACGATTGATAAGAGTTGGACGACGTGTAGATGTCGTAACTCTGATGAGTTTTGGACCATTCTTCAAGCCTTTATAGAGATAGCAATGAAACATGTCAATAATGATGGCGCATTGAGATGTCGATGCAAAAAGTGTTTTCAACTTTATGCGTCAGATGCCAAATGTGGTTGAGGCTCACATACATAGATACAGGTTTCAAGCTGCATATATGAAGTGAGTATATCACGATGAAGTAGATACTCCAATTGTAGCCAATGTAGCTCCAACAACAAATGAGATGACTGATTTCATCAAGGACATTATCAGGGAGACAAATACTAATGAAGAAAATGCAGATGAAGGAACAGATGAAGGAACAGATGAAGGTGGAAGTGGTGTAGAAAAGGAATTCGTTGAATTGTTTTAAGAGATCAAAACTGAGTTATACCTAGGTTGTACTTGGTTGTTCTCCTTAAACTTTTTAGCAAAAATGGTTCATATGAAGGTCGTGAATAAATGGACTAATAGTTCATTTTACCAGCTTATAGAGTTTCTGAAATTCGCATTCCCAAAAGAAAATAAGATCCCGGCTTCACACTATGAAGCTAAGAAGAAAATGAAAAAAATAGAGTTAGGGTACCAGTTGATCCATGTTTGCGAAAATGGTTGTTTTCTGTTATGGAAGGGGAACGAATTGAACCATAATTATCCAATTTGTGGTGAGAGTAGATGGGTTGACAAAAATACAAAGGGGGGAAAAGAGTTACCCATAAAGTGTTGTGCTATTTTCCGTTAACTCGTAGGCTTAAATGTACATAGGATCCTAGGCATACTGCAAAAGATATGACAAACTACTGGATGGTCAATAGAAGTTGGTACGATGCGACACCTAGTTGATGGGACTGCATGGAAAGATTTTGATACAAGATATCTGGAGTTTGCTGCAGAACCTAGAAATCTTCGTTTAGGTTTGGCTGTTGATGATTTTAATCCATACAGTAACCTGACTTTATCTTACAGGGTGTAGCCAGCTACATTGATAACATACAATACTCCATGATTATGTATGAAAGAGTTCTTTCATGTTGACTTTGTTAATTCCAAGCCCTAAGTCAGATGGGAGGACATGGATGTTCTTTTGAGGGCTTTAGTGGATGAACTAAGATTTTTGTGGGTTGAAGGAGTTCAAACGAGAGATGTGGTAACAAGCACTTTCTTCACATTGCGTGTTGCACTATTATAGACTATTAACGATTTTCTTGCTCATAGTAGTTTGTGTGGTTGGAGTGGTCAATGATATAAAGTATGCTCTACTTGTAATGAAGACACTCCTTCATGTCGAGTACTTGAGAAGACATCTTATGTTGATCATATAAGATTCTTATGTTCTAACCATCGTTGGAGTAAGAGTAAGTTGTCGGTAAACCGAAGAAAAGGCCTCCTCCTAGACGATTTAATAATGTAGCTATATGGAACCAATTAACTCATGTTCCCATTCGTACTTTGGGAAAACACCAAGGTTTGGTAGCGTAAAAAGAAAATGTAAACCGAAAGAGTTTAATTGGACCAAACAGAGTATTTCTTCAAGCATGCGTATTGGTCTTCTCTTGAACTAAAACATAATTTGGATGTTATGCATGTGGAGAAAAATATGTGTGACAATTTGGTGGATATTTTATTAGTGAATGATAAATCCAAAGACATTACCAATGCAAGAGTGGCTTTAAGAGGAAAGATGATAAGACTTTTAAATAACTAAATACTCATTCACCCCAGATGATAGATGGCGATTTTTTCAATTCATAAAAGGAGTTTAATTATGTGATGGCTTGGATAAGACTTTAAAAATAAGGTGATTGATAATGATACCAACATTACTGGGTTGAAGTCTCATGATTGTCACGTCCTTATGCAATGATTTCTTCATAAGGGTACCTGGATGCAGATATCAACCCCAATCTTTGAACTCTGCACCTTATTTAAACAACTTTGTGCTCAAACATTGGTGGTGGAAGATATGAAGAAGGCAAAGGACCAACTGATTATGGTATTGTGCAAATTGGAGTTAATATTTCCTCCGACTTTTTTGACATAACCATTCATTTGGTTATTCATTAACTGAGGAAGCAATTTGGAGAACCATTTTATATGCGATGGATGCATCCTTTTGAAAGATTATGAAGTAACTAAAAAAATTATGTCAAGAATAAGCTTAAGCCCGATGTTCAATAGTGGAAGGTTATGTTGCAGACAAAGCTTGAACATCTTGCTCCATGTATCTTCATGATGTATAAACCAAATTTAATCTCCCTGATAAGAATGTGAATGTTGTCAATCCGAAAAGCCAGTTGTTGATGCTTGAATCACAATGTTAACCGACAAGTGTCTAAAAGTTCATATTTCTCGAACTAGCGATTCAAAAAACTGCAAAGTGGTTCTTACGATACAATTGTCCTGAAATTCAAGTGTACATGGAGTATGTATCTCCAACTTCCCTTGGATAAATTTTGACTTCGTGATATTAAGTCTAACCAATAGAGTTTTTAAACATACAATCAATTTAACTCTAACGTGCAAGGAAGTAATCTTAAAACAAGAATTTCCCTATATGAAGGTAAAAATATCACACATATTAGAAAGTTAAATAGATATCGTCACTTAAAAATTATCTTCTTTTTATATCCATGTGTGGTTTAAGACAAGAAGGGTCTCCCAAGTATACTGGTGAATTGTTATCTTTGGCACATGGTTTGGATTTCAATGCACATTCTTATAGTGCTTGCATAGTAGTTAGTGTAAGATTTATGGTACACAATTGTGATATCCGATGCACCACTCAAAACAACGGTGTAGCGATACCATGAATAGATGATTTTACATATTATGGTCAACTCGAGGATATCTGATGTACCACTAGGGTTTGATATTCGATGCACCACTCAATTGTGTTGTTTCGATGTAAATGGTTCAACATTGATCCGAACAAGGGGAGATCTTTCACCAAAAATATCATCACTGGTATCAACATCTTTTGGTTCCAGATTTCTCAATTTGTAGATGAAAACAAGAATAATATAGTAGAAGCTTTGAATAATCTAGTAAATTTCAACAAAAACAAATGAAGAATATCTCACCACAAAGTATAGTAATTTGTATTGATTAAGATATAAGAATCACACTTGAGAAGAATTACAATCGAAGCATCAAAGGGTTGATCTACTCAAAGTGTTTAAAGTGAATGGTATTACAGTGAAAATTATTTCAAATACAAGGCATGAAGATACTATATATACCCTAAAGGTTTAAGTCAATAACCATATAATAGGAAGCCTCACTTGTAAGGGCGCATAACAGACTTTAGGCGACAACGGTTGTCATTCAGATCTTAAAAGCCTTGATAAAAAAAAGGTGAGTTTTGAACTCTAGAGGAAGACTTCAGAGGTAGTCGGGTTCTCTAAAAGGGCATTTCAGAGTTCTGAAGTGTCTCAGGAAAGGCTAATCAGAGACTCAATACTTAGAAACATTTCAAGTTTCTTTCACAATACTTTTACATGAAAAATGAGTCTAACAACATCAATTCTAAATGGTACAAAGACAACGAGTTCATTTATGCTACACAAACAAAACAAGTGTTATACATTGAATATCCATCTCAAAACCATAATCGGAGGGTTGTGGAAGATGTTAGTCATTGGAAAATTTGGGGTCATCCAAGCATCAATACTGTTAATGAGATAGATATCATACATGACAATAAATTCTTCCGATTTTGTGTTGGTTGTTGGCTCAAGTGAATTGCCTTGTGTGAGTTTAGAAAGAGGTGGTCAATCAAGTTTAGTTGATGATATCCCTACCGCTCCTATTGTGGACGACGAAGATTTCATTAATGATGAGGATGAAAATGAGGATGTTGATATTGATGATGTAGAATTAAGTGATGGTAATGATAATGCTAATTATGTAGCTTAGTATTGTTCTAGTGACGAATCTTATTATATTTTAATTTCAATTACATTTGTTTACAAGTTTTCGATTTAATTAGTTAACAAGTTTTAGTATGTTATTAGCTATTGATCTATCATAGAACCCTATTTTTAATTATATATTGAAATATTTAATTCTAAATATATATATATATATATATATATTGAATGTAATTTTTTTGGGTATTCAAGAGACAGAGAGATTGTTTCTAGTTTATATGACTTTATCAAGAAATAACTTTGCTTATTACTACTATTTCCTTGAAGGTGGCTATCAAAAAGCTCGGAACTTTAATGCTTTGGAGCATCATAATCAACGTCAGGTGAATCTACTGATATGTAATTATAGGGTTTTGACATCACTTCAAGTTGAATTTTTTATTTTTGATTAAGTAGATCATAATCACCATATAGGAAAAAAAAACATTTTGTAGCAGGCTTATTAGTTGGTGTAACCAAGAGTTGTGTTTGTTGTGCTTCTACTTCTTCCAGGTGCAAATCTTTCTGATAGCAATTATAAATTCCTGTTTTAACAAGGGTAGTTTAGTAATTTATCTATCTTTTAAATCCATTATATTTATTTGTTCCACCTATTTCAATGGTACAAAATATTGGATCTTCACCTGTACATAGTTGAGACAAGTTGTTTCCAATATCTAAGTTTAGAGTACATAAAAGAGTAGATTTGTACTATTGGTGGTGGGTGTTGGTTATCTGATTATGATGTTGTGGTTAAGGTTGATAAGATTAGTTTTTGGTTACTGTCGATTTCATTTATAAGCAGATTGGTTCAGGGATTAATCTTCATATGTTTGCTATCATGGAGACCTTTTAGTAGCATAGTTCATTTTCAAGGTTAGGTTAGAGATGCTATTGGTTTTACACGTTTATTGTTGATATTTATCTCTTTCTTATTGGTGATCATGGATGCAGAAGGGTCTAATTTTGATGCACACCTTAGTGATTAGTTTGATTAATGCTAATGGATGTTCTAATTTTGGAGTTGAAAACTAAAAAAAATCTTTCTAATGCCTTTAATGAGGATCGATGTTGTTGGTGGATCTGGCAGAGATGCTTATTTTGATTATATGGACCAACGTGAAAATCAAATTGCTTCTATTTATGTGCTTTGGTTCGTGACTGTTATTTTTGTTCCTAGTGTTGGACAAATTATATTGGTATGGTGTAAAGGGAGATATTGTTTCAATTTTGCTACTTGCAGTCTTCATTGGGATAGATAAAGGGTGAACCGGGAAAATTACGTTTCAATGGGATATACTCTATTTTTTCCGCCAACTTATTTTGGTTTTGCAGGTATTCCATGTTGTTTTACGGCCTGTTCCATGTGATGGATTTCACTGGTTTTTATGTTGACAAGTTTTGTCTTCTGATTTTTAGACATAACTTTATGGTTATTCATATAATTAAGCTTTTGTTTTCATAGAAAAAAAAAGTTAAATTTGGATATTAAAACATGTTATAAGTTGAATATGTAAGATTGGTATAATCTATAAAGTTTCATATTCAGATTAAGAGAGACAAACACAAAATTTATATTCCCTCGGTCATTAGAATTTCCATTTTGAGATGACTTCCCATTGTAGGACCATGTATCAATAATTCAATACTTCATGCTTTTTATTTCAAGGGTTCAGTTGGGTTTGATTTAATAACCAGATCACATTTATGGAGCTCTTTTTCTAGTTTGCAGTCATTTAGTAATTTCAAAGTTGATGAGTTCATTTGTCACCAAGTTATAACATTGTGCAAAAGGCTAGCTCGGGACAAGATGCAAATGTGACTACAGTCCCAATCCCAGTTCTAAAATTTACTTGGAAGCTAACTTGTTCTTTTAAGTGGACAAACGACGTTGTAGACAGATTGGCAGTCACATTTTTAGAGGAAATCTTAGTTTCAAAAAAAAAAATCAAAGAATGAGTTTAGCATTTTATGATATGATCGATCCCACAAGATGATATCTATTACTAAAATGAAAATTTATCTGTAACCAAATCCTTTCTAGCAAGTGCATTGAATTCTTTCAGATGCACGTATCGAACTGAAGTGTTGCCATTATCCACTTGTTCCAAGTTGCCTTCGGACTTCTAATAGAGAGTTCAAACCACAACCACCAAGCTTGACCTAAATATCAAAAAAATTTGTGATAAAGTTAGATGAGGATAATAAGAGCCTGTTTCTTTTATTTTATGTTCCTTTTCTTGTTTTGTTTCTGGAAAAGTTTTAAGGTACAATTTATACGATCTTATGTATGCCATTGTTGCTCAAGGACATGGTATAGATGTCGAGGGTGATCCTTCTCCTAAACCAAATAGAATACCTACATTATGCGAGACAACATGTAGATCACTTTTTCAATTCTTTAAAAATTTGAATGTGTTATCTTCTAACATTTTTACTTCAAACTTGTTGCAAAATAAAAAAAGAAATGAGGCATGAGCAAAAGCAAAATATTTGATATTTCCTTTAAGGCTAATGGATACAAGTCGTCGATCCAATTTGATCTAATTGATGTTCCACATAAAGTAGTTGGCCCTACGATAATATCTTTACAAGGTATATTGGAAACGTGATCGGTTATGACGTCTCTCCACATCATCCAAGATGGAATGAAGTTCCCCCAGAGTTCAAGCATCGATAATTGGAAGACTTATGGTAAATATTACAATAACTATTAATTATTTATAATTTTTACACGATTTCAGACACTTTTAGAGGGATTCTTCATTCTTGATCCAACTATTCCCGAATGGCCCAAGATTCAAGTTGGCATCGAGCGAGATTGCCAAGATCGCTACAAAGATAGGAATTCAAAACTCAAGAAGCATTTGATCAAGTTCGCGAGTACGATGTAACACCCTCTTTTGATCATAGAAGGTATTACAGAAAAATAAACCACAATAATTATAATAAATTGAATAAACTTAAAAGCTCGTCCTTAAATACAATAAAAGTGTTGGTCCCAAATGGTCTACAAGAATACTAAACAGTTTGTAGAAGGGGGGGGATGAATACAAACACAATTTTCAAATTTAAAATATATATTGAT